CTTAACAGGGGTGGTGACCACAGGGGCAAATCGAGGCAGGCTGAGATGGTTGGTGCGGCCCACTGCCCGTGGCTCAGGCTCAGCTGGAGATTCATCAACAGGAGGTGGCTCTGGCTCAGGGGCTTCAGGGGCCCCAAGTGGAGCAGTAGTAAGCACCGATTCATAGATCTTCAAGTGGGCTTCACTTGGGGTAAACTGAGGGGCCCGAAGGAGCAGGGGCCTCCGGGATGGATTGACAGGAGCAGGAGGTGGGGGTGGAGCTGGCGGAGGAGCCGGGGGAGGAGGGGGCAGTTCCCGGGTCAGTGAGGTCCAGCGAAATGTGGGTTCCCTTAGGATCGACCTTCTCTTTTCAGGGAGTGGGACTGGGATAGATAGGGGAGTTGGGGCACATGGTGGAGAGGGGGCTGGCGCTGGTTCCTGGGGGGCGAGTGGGGAGATAGCAACAGGAGGCCGCAGAGGTGAGACTTCCACCTTTGGGGGCTTGGGGGGATCTTCATCCATAAATCGCCGGGGTGTCTTGATGACACGGGAGGACCGGGCACTCACCACAGGCATAATAAACTGCCGGATATTCTTCAGGAAGGTGGTGCTTTTGGGGGCCACAGTGGGGCTGTCTTCCAGAGGGCCTCCTGTGACGGTGCCAGGGGTTGGAGTGGTAGGAGAGGTGCCCTCTGGCCCTGCCCGAGCAGCTTCCCGCTCTGCCCGTTGGCTGGGAGTCAGGGGAGGCCGGCCCCTCTTCCTGGAGCATGTAGCTAGGACCACGGGAGGGGATTCTTCCTGCTCCTCTGGGGCAGGAGGTGGTGGAGGGGATGGTGGGGTTACTGAGGGTGGTGAAGGGCAAAGTGGGGATGGAGGAGATGTTGAGGGAGATGGAAGAGGTGGGGGGACTGGAGGAGTCAGGGGTGGTGAGGGCAGCTTTGCCTCTTCCTTTTCCTCAGCTATCATCATCTCCTCCTCAGTTAAAGCTCTCTCTTCCTTCTTTTCCCCTTCTTCCTTATCTTTCTCCTCCTCCGACTTCTGCTCCTTGCTCCAGCAAGGGCCCTCTCCCTGTCCAGATTCAACTCTTCCTTGGGAAGCATCCTGCCAGCTTTCCTCATGTTGATCCTGACCCTGACCTGATTCAAGTCCCAAGGACAATCGTCCCATCTTCACTCTTTTGGCCTTTGAAACAAACTTGATCACGAGGGGGAGTCCACCTCGGCCTCGGCCCCTGCCTCCACGGCCTCCTCGCCCAGACTGTCCTCCACACTTGGGGGTCCCAGGTCCTGGGCCAGGCCCCTCCTTGCACTTCCAGCTCCCAGTGCGATGTTTTACTGGAACCATAGGAGGTGGGGGCTCAGATTTAGGGATTGTCACAGCTGCTTCTGCCACCATTACTGCTTGTTGCTTCTTCCTGCACGGGCCTGCAGGCCGTCCTGGGGGCCGCCCCCGAGACCGACGGGGGGTGGAGGGCTCACATGCCCGGTTCCGGGGGGCTGGGGGTGCCTGGGCCCGCCGGAGAAGTTCAGTCAGTGCTTGCACCATCCGCTCTGTACCCTCCTCACCCCGTTTCCGGGCAGGAGTCTTTGGGGGGGTAGGAGTCACATCTGCTAGGCGAGGAGGCAGAAGGGGGATCGTCTTATGCTTGTGGCCGCGACCTCGAGGGGCTCGACCTAAAAGGAGAATAGGTGTGGGGAGATGGGTCAAGCTAGCCCTTTGGACTAAGAAAGGTGCTGCAGGAGGTCCAGAACTAGTCTTATTTGTCTGTTTCCCCCACAGCCCAGCCTAGCTTGGGTTTTGAACACAGAACACATCTGGTAACTGATGGAGACTGTAGTTGAACAGGGAAAAGCTGACACAAAGAGTGAGGAGTAACATTCCTTTAAAACTATAGAAGTACAGTTTCCCCATCACTCACCTCGTTGTGACCGGAGCGCAGAGCGCAGGGAACTGGGGGCCACATCGTCATCTGAATGAAAACCCTGAAATTCCTGATTTAGGGGACCAGGGGTGGAGGGGAGAAACAGCAGTCAGTGCCAAAGCCCTTGTTCCACCTGAGACTCCGGTATTGAGGAATACGCCCAGCTTCCCCCTTAAGGGACCCCTGCCTACTTACAAAAGGACTAAAAAGACTAGAAGGTGAGGAGAGTAGAAAACGGTCTCTCCTTAGGCAGGAAGACACGGGGTATTTTGAACCTCCACCTCCTAGGCCTGACCATCCCAGCACAGAAAACAAAGCAGGGCCTCTCGGGCCAGGCAGCAGGCACTACCCTGACTCCCTGAGACTCCAACACAGAAAAAAGGGGGGCCTCTGTGTACACCCTCTTGGGCATCAAAGATGCCACCTCCTGCTGCGAAGGTGGGAACAGGGCCACCGAGCTGGTGTGTGTGTCTGCCACACGGGCTACCACAGTGGGATCCCCACACCTTCCTGCCTGTTCTGCGAGGCTGGGGGTACACCGGGAGCTGAGCTCAGACCTGCTGAGTGCCCAGTCGCGGCTTTCGTTCCCTTTCTCAACCTGGGCCCCGAGGAGGAAGCCCTCCACCATTCGAGCCTCTCTCCACCTCAGGTCGGAGGGAAGAGGGGCACTAGTGGACACCAGGGCTGTGTCAGAGGTTGGGGCTGGGCGGGGCAGCCTGCAGCGGGGAGCCCGGAGCCAGCTGGTCCGCCGAAG